CCTCTTTTTGCTGCTGCTATGGGCGCACATAACTCAGTGACGGAAGTTTACCTGGGTACAGGGTATTACACTGTCGGGCTAGCTCGACTGTAGCGTTCTCTCTTGTTTGGTTACATTTAGAATTGAAGAAATTTTTATTTTAGTGTTTTTTTTATACTCTGTACATAAAATGAAAGATGCCTAATGTGTGTACGCTGTGCAAGTTTGTTTTATTTTTTCGATTTCCCCCCCTATGGGGTTTTCCTAATTTTCCATTCGTATAATCGCCTATATCTTAAAAAAGCTCCCATAGAATTATCCACTATATAATGGACAAGTGTGTGTTGGGAATGACCGTCAGTAATTATTATCAACAGAAGAAATTCAAAACAAAATGAGGATTGTCGATTTCCTATTTAGTCTGAAAAGATACAAAGTCGAAAAAATGAAAGTATTTTAGTCTTCCCCCTAATTTCGACGCAGAATAGAAATCTGTTCGATATAGATTAATAGGAATATTCTTGAAAATATTGAAAAGAGATGATACTATTTTAATGCTTTTTTAAATGTTTCCTAAATCTTATATCGAGAAATTATAATAATCTTGAATGCCAAAAACAATATACATCCCAAGTGATTATATCTAATAAAATTAATTAAGGTTTGTTATTCAGAAAGATTCATTAAAATGTTTATTTTTTTTTTAAATTCTGTTGGTATTTCTAAAATGTATATAACCATTTATTTGTTCAATTTTAATAATTGAAGAGGTATAAAGAGAACGAGGCAACTAAACATACTTATAACTTCAATGGCAAAGCTAGTTGAGTTTTGTTCGTTTTATAGGGGTGAAGGGGAGCGACTCCCAGCATTTTCCACTTTGTTACACCCATGGTGCCATTACCAGCTTAACAGCTGTTATACGCGCTACAATTGACAGTTGAACGCCGCTGTCGGATACAAATAGAACGTTATTTTTTGCGAACTATCGTGCAGTTTATTTTACTGCCTTGCGCCCGCACTCGCTGCTCTAATTATGTGCTCGTTACATGGCAGACAATTTGGACCGAGAGACAGAGACGATAGACGAAATGATGCTGCTGCTGCTGCGGCTGCGAACATTTATTATAAAGAGAGCAAAAGAAAGCCAAGAACTGACCGGCGAAACGAATATCAGCGAATGTCCAAGCGGCCTACCTGTCCGCCCGCCCGTGCCTCCAATTAAAAACCCATGCCATTTTCTCCGACCAATCGAGCAATTGCCTCTAGTTGATTTTTTCCAAGTGTGAGTGCGAACGAGCTTGCTCAGCGCATTTGTCTCGCAAGTTTTGCGCACTCTCCAGGCGATGATGTTGGCGCTCTCGCTCACATATTGCTATCGGAGTAGCGCTGTCCATGCTCCCATGTGTTTGGGTTTCGGTCGCCACGTTCTGTTTTGTTTTTGTTGTCGCTCGTGTGAGTTGTGGTGTGGTGTGGTGGGACCGAGAACCGTATAGTTCTGATATTCGTGCGCGTACACTCACACATACGCACACACACACAGTGGGAATTAAAGTTTGAGTTGTCAGTCGGGCCTGACGGATTGTTTTATTGTTTTGTTTGCAAATTTCGGCCTTTGCAAATAATATCCCCAAAGTGCAAAAAGATACATACGTATAAACAATCGCATGCTTATTGTGTGTGGCTATTTCTATATAATTATCTATCGCGGACATCAAATGTGCGAATATGTAAACTTCATATCTATGTAAACATTTTATCTGTGAGATAAGCATATCAGCTATTTTTTATCATGGGAAACATGCAAAGTATATCAGAAGGTATGCTGCCATTACCTTTATTCATGTTACCAAATGACACTCATCCTCTGCAAATATGGCTATTTATGTTAAATGTGTTCAACCAACGACCTTTTGGAATTTTCACATCAATTAACCACATCAACGTGTTTTTACTCTAATGTCAGCGAATGACCTGACTAGTCCAGATAGCTGCTTCGCCCTTTTTTATTAATTTAAATATGAAGTTCTTAGGTCTTGTGACCTTTTCTAAAAGTGGTAATAGAGCTGACATGCAATAATGTGCCTGGATTTTTCACATTTCAAATATTAGAATATTTGTTTGTATTTTAGAATTCACAAAAGTGACTGCATGACTAATTTTACAGTCTATTTAGAAGCTACATTTAATAAGAACTGCCTCAACAGTATCGTTGCATTTGTTATCTGAATATATGTGTAATTATCCGCTCTTGGTAGAGGAAAAGCTTCTAAGATTAGACTAAACATTTAAGATTTAAACACAGCAAACTCTACTGACCGAAAACGAGAACTTTCGGATATGTACCGACCAAGTCCAACTCTGACTGACTTGCTCAATTAGAAAACTAATACAAGACGTAGTCGTCAACACATTTTATTCTAATAACTACCTATGTACCAGAAATATTTTGATATTCGCTTCAGACAAATTTGTGAAAGCAACATTTGCAAATATATAATCAAAACTAGAAGGTTTATCAAAATCATCGCAATCTGAAAGGAATGTTTAATAGCCAGAGTCCAGAGGGCATATTTGTTCCTACCCTACAGATCTTTCTAATCTAAGCCTCACTATTTGTTTAAATTCAAAACTAAAATCTATTTGATCTTCGTTCATTGATAAGTAACACACTCATTGATTTAGTCTTAGTTCAGTTTATACAATTTCTATATTGATTTTCTATATTCTGTAAAACAGCTGCTTCTGTTTCACGAAAGTCATTTATAATAAAAATATAAAACACACAAGGGTGTGTGTTTGTTGCAATGACTAAGGTTTCGTAATGACAAAGTCTGATATTACAAACACATGAGCATTAACAATGAAAACCATGCAGTGAGAGCAATTAAAAGTTTATGAAGCATTTTTTAAAATCACTATTTCCGTAACGTCATTTAAAAGTTGCTTTTCATATAACAAAGAAAGCAATAAATTATTGAATGATTACCAATCGTCTATAAATGTTGCCTGTTAGCTAAGAAGATTTTATTGTTCGTCAAGTAAGGTTCAACTTAGTAGCGAAGGGTGTAAATTTGTATGCAAATATTTGTGAAAATGTGATCGCATAAACTTATACATTTGCACATACTTATATTGGGCGCCTATTACGTTTATATCCATTAACCTTGAGGTTTTAAAAGCTAAGCTAGTTACAGACCTATAATAGTTGTTTCCGTTTTATTCGTGTTTGCATTGACGTTGATACAGAGAAGCCCACTCGAAGACGCGACCCACATTAAATGAACTGCCCATGTGACTAATTAAAAAGTGTATACTATATTCGCAGATCTTAGAAACATAACTTTCATTAAAAATTTATGGCCTTTTAACAATCACACTCAGAGAGCTCATTATGCCTAAGTAATTTTATTTTATTTATTTATCTGAAATTTGCAGTTTTTATATTTTTTGATCAGCACGACCTGGTATTGTACGTCTATCGGAGAATGTCACGTCGAAACTACTGAAAAGCTTTATATTTATTTGTTTAAATGAAAAAAGAAAGCACACCTTACTTTATAAGTAAATATACTTGTAGGATTGATTGATATAGGATTGCGATATAGCTAGAGTCTAGCTGACTGACTGTCTGAACATCGAGTTATTGTTATATGGACACATCAAGTGTTTTTAATATCATATAAAAGCCTCCATTTTTTAAAGATCAGAGAAATATTTGCACGATAACAATCGTTGCAAAAATCAATAGGAAACATCAAAATTAAATTCTCTATTTAGTAGATTTTAATATTGTCCCTCTATGCTATAAATTGAAAGAAAAAGCTGCCACAGGAATGATAAATAAAAAAAATCAATATTAGAACGAAGCACTTTTTTTTATATTTTTCTCCATATGGTTCCAAATTTTATAAATTGTGGCCTTTGTCAAACTTTTATGACAAACATACTTATTATCAAAACAAATTACCCTTCTTTTTGCAAAGAAAACTCATTTGTGTCTGCTGTATACATTTATATAAACACACCAGATATATACGTATTGGCCTGAAATTATCAGTTGATTGATATTTGCTAAGTGCGCATATAAAATGCCAAATCGGCAGCAATAAAAAATGCTAATTTCTGATAAGGCGGCACCCCACACATATCGTATAATAATATAGGCACCCTATGCACAATGTGATATCATACGAGTACTTATCAGTTGCTCCATATGTTATTGCCTCATTTGATAAACAAAAAAAATAAAGAAATTACCAAAGAGCTCCTGCAATCGAAAACAAAACCAAAATATACAAAAAACAGCTATGAAAAGGCTGATAAATTTAATTGGCATTTGGTTCTTACGCTTAAGATATCGACCCATAAGTGGCCTTTGAATATTTGCCACCTGTTTCTCACCTAGTATGTAGTATTACTCCACTGACTCATGTCGATTAATGAATGAATTATACCACGTAGAGCTGTATAAAAACGTTGAGTACTATAAACAAAGTTGTACAAATGCGGAAACACCGAGCGCGGCGAAACGATTTCGACCGCAAGTGCGGAGCGTACAGAGCGGGTTCCCTTTATGCGTTGAAAATAGGTCAAAATCTAAAAACAAGACGTTCGGCATTTTAGTGTCTCAATATACTATGCACAAATGTATACAGAAATATATATGTATCTAATACTTGTACATATCTATGTGCAGTGAAAACTCTCTTGGCCGGACACTCACGATCGGCCAATTTTTGTCCGCCCAAGAGGAGTGTCCGCTTAAGGGAATGCTCAAATACTTTATACACCGAGCGAGTGTCCATTAAGGGAGTTTTCACTGTATATTGTGCGGACGTCCCCATTGAATGCGTTCAGTGTGTGGCTTCTACTTCTTGGTGGTTATTGGGTGGCAATTCAAAGTGGATTTCGTCAAATTTTCAGTTTTCAGTTTTCACTTTTTTTTCTGAATGAATTTCGAGCGACTACTCACTAATGGTTTTTTTTTCTCGTTTCGCTTTCTTTCTTTTCTGCTGCAGACAATGACGTTGAGACGGCGCTGGCCGAGTCTCAGGCGATCGTTATGAGCGCCTCACACACACAACAGCGCCAACAACAGCTGATCAATCAGCATATGATCGACTCTCAGATCTCAGTGAGCAGCGGTGCCTCCATACAGACCGCCTTCTTCCAGTCGCTCACCAATTCACCGGCCCATCACGCCGGGGGCAGCAACACGCAACTCCAGCATACGACGTCCACGATCAGTAGTAACTCGAACGGCTCTGTTAACTCTCAGGGTGTAGTGTATGCGGCCGAGGCGCTTGGCACGCAGCGACCCCCTCAGCCCGCGGAGCACATCAACTCGCTTCTGGAGCACATCAGTCCGGCACAAGCAGCGGCGGCCATGAGCGGCGAGGGTGTGCTCAACATAGCCGATGTGGCCGATCTGCTGCATCCGCAGCATGCCATCATAACTGGTGGTCGTTCACAGGACGGCTGTCCACTGATTATCTTCCCGGACAACAACAACTTCAATTGCCTCGAAGAAGCGGACTATCAGAAGCTTATTTTGTACCTCAGCTCTGTGCCATCGTAAGTTCCCAACCCAAATCAATTGGGTGTACAAATAGAAAATGTAAGAGTTTCAAAGTTGTGCCCTTCCTTAACTACTTATTGCCGTTTCCAGAATTAGATGGAATTCAGAAGCGTTCAAGAACTTTACCTCCTTTGAGGCGATGCATAAGTCTACCCAATTTTTTGTTTTTTCCTAACCCCGAAAGCGCTACCCAGACAATCCATCTTTCACTACTTTCTAGCAGCTCATAATAGATAGCTCCGGTGGATGGAGTTTATTTGAAATTTTAGTAGTAGTAGACATTTTAAAGTACCAAAGAGCTTAGATAAATATCAAAAGTTGCCTTTAAGAGGTTTTTAACTGAAAATTATCACCAGAAATGGCTAGCAGCTCCATATTTCTGTTTATATATCTGCTTTCTGTTTGTACATTCCAAATATTAACCCAAACATGGCTTAAGTAATAATAATAATGTTTCTCTATTAGCCTACAAGATGCTGATCTTGGCTTTCATTTAATAATCGATCGACGTAAGGACAAATGGACCTCAGTAAAGACGGTTTTACAACGCATTTCCGTAAGTTTGCAAAAAAAAAAAAAAAAACAACAAAAAATCTCATAAATACTAAACAAAATGTTTTCTATTTAGGTTTACTTTCCCGGCATTATACATGTGGTCTATGTGTTGCGTCCATCCGGCCTTTTCCAGAAGGCTATTTCCGAGGTTAGCTCCAAATTCTCCAAAGACGAATATCGCTTCCGACTTGTGATTTGCTCAGCGCTCTCCGATTTGCATGAGTTTGTCGATGCCACCCAACTTACGGCTGATATGGGTGGATCTTTGATCTATTCACATCACGAGTGGATACAACAACGGATTGTAAGTACCCATGGCTCTTGGTTTATTTTGTTATTTTATTAAATTTCGTACTTGCAGTCCCTCGAAAAGTTCTCCAGCCTGACGCATCAGGTGTCCGCCGAATTGGACGTTTTCATACAGGCCATACACGATACAGAATTTCCCAATTCCGTTGAGGCTACTCGAAAACTCTTGGAGGATCAGGGTACCGACTATGCTCGACTCAAGGTTAACTGCTAGTTGATTTGCAAAACAAACTCAAACTCATGTCTGAACCATTTACTTTTTAGGAGGAAATACTAGCGGCTGCAAAGCACGGCGAAGCTCTGCTCGATAACATCAAATTAAACGAGGAACTGAAGGAATTCTCCGAGCGCACTGGCAATGTCAGCGCAATTGAGAGGTGCGTCCTAGTTTCTGTTCTACCTCTCATTAAGTTTTGATGGCTTTAGTAACTTTTCAACTAAATATTAAACTTCTTCCTAAAATGCGTTTTTGTGTATCAAACAATTACTTATAAACTAACCCAAAACTGATTTTATTTCTTATAGCTCTGCACTGGTTTTGTATTAATCTGTTCATTTTGACCAAATGTTTTCAATACTAATTACTACAACAAAATACAAGCTGTTAATGTTTATTTAACTCCGTTTTCATATTTACAAAAATGTTTTCTTTAAGTCGAGTTCATTTGTACATTAAATGTGTTTTGTTTAAGACAATAATAACAACTATTCAGGCAATTATATCAGTGCCTTATTTATTCACAATACAACTCTCAGTAAAATATTTTCAGTATTGTTTCATAAGTATAAGTATACTGAAGCAGCTTTGTACGGCTCATTATAAATCATTTACGAAACAATTGTTTCTTTGTATAAAGGCCTCACCGGCTATACTTTGGCAAAAGACTCATATACATTTCATTATTATATATCTATTAGTAAAGATGGTCATACATGCAGAACGTTTGTACAGAAATTTTACCTTTTTTGCAAATAACTCGAAAGATAGATAGTTATTATTTGCCTGTCTGACCATAGCTGAAGCTCTTATTCTGTGTAGAATTTGTAATGCTTTAAATAAATGGCTATGCCATATTTCAGAAAATACAACAATTTGTGTGCAAATAATTTGCCTGTTTGACCACATTTTTCAAAAATTTTAAATATTTCCGCTTCGGAAATTAAGTTTACATAATTATAATTTGTAATGAATGTTTATATGAGTACTTTTATTGTGTATTCGTTTTAAAGAATACACATACATAAATATATTGAGAAAGTTTTTAATTTGTTGTGTTGCTACGTTCTACCGAATAGTATACATACGTGCCGTTTATAAAAGTTCATACTATAACTCTGTTGATTTGCATGACAATAAAATGTTTCGCTTCGCGAATTAAACTCATAAAAACTGAATTAGAAAATCATTTAAACAAACACTCAATTACATAAGTACATCATATATCCGTGTTGATTTCGTTACAATAGTTTGATGTTTTAATTGTATAATGCTTAAATTACAATACGCTGCTAAAAGCATGTTTTGAAATGGTTTAAAAACTGTATTAAAATATGTTATTTGGGAAATGATACGCAATACACTGCAAACAGTTAAGACTCGATTTCATATATGTATGTAACTCCAATTCACTCAAAATCACTTCAATTGGCACACAATACAAGTACACAGATACACAGATAAATTTCCGTTTTCGGAACAGCACAAAGCACATTCATACAAAAAAAAAAAAAAAAAAAAAAACACGTCCACACATGTCGCCCACCATGTACATACATACTTGCTAACTAAACTGTACACTCTACATTGAACAATTGCTTGTCCACTTTAAACTCATCTGAATGTCGTCCATTTCGCTCATCAAAGTTGCTGTCGTCTCTTGTCTCTTTTTCTGTGCGCCTTTGAACGCAAAATTTCCAAAAACATTTTCGATATGCAAAAATCATGATCAAATGTAATGCAATTCCCATAAACGACCACAAACTCAAATCGATAATGATAACGATAACGATAAACGGATATGCAGACCCAGTGCAGGGCAGCCAATGCATCGCCAACAAATTATTTACCATCAACAATATAAGTTTAAAAAACCCCAACATTATGATGATTGTCGCGATTATCGCAGACTGCTCGTACAACTGGAGGAGACAGAGCGTCGCTTCGATGAGTTTTGGCGCACTCATCGCAATCGTTTGGAGCAGTGTCTGCGCCTCCGCATGTTCGAGCAGGACTTCCGGGAGCTGCAGGTGAGTCCAAATGAATCAAGCATTAAGTATACTTGTTTACTCAAGTATTCTCCCCATCCAGAACCTTTTCGATGGCCACCTCCAGACTGTGGCAGACATGACGGAAATTGGCGAAAGCGTGGAGCGCGTCTCAACGCTTATTGAGGAAACGCAACAGTTCCGTGTCTGCATCAAAACGGATGTGGAACGCGCCGAGGATGTTATACAGGCCGGCCAACAGCTGATTGGCTCACGCGGCGTCTATCCCTGGGAGATTGTGCAACCAAAGTGCGATGAGCTGCAACGTGTCTGTGACATCATCGGCGAGCGACTTAGCAAACGGCTAGAGATACTGGCCAAGAACAGTGAGCTCATGGAGAGAGTTGAAAAGGTGCGTTCGCTTCACCTAAACGATTTCGACAGCAGATTTAATTCCGTTTCTTTGATGTTTTAGGCTAATCAGTGGTGTGCAAATGGCGTGGAATTGCTTGCCTCGCAGCGCATCGAAAAGTGTTCGGTCTCAGCGGACTTGGCCGAGCAGAGTCTGCACGAGATACAGGCTTTTATAGCCTCAGCGTCCGATTTCAAATTGTCTAGTCCCAGCGAGTTCAAAAAGATCTTCCTGGAGAGCACTACGCCCGAGACCAAAGCCCTTGTATCGCAGGTTAGTTCAATGCACCACTTGCTCCTACTCATACTTCAACTCTAAACAATTCATTGAATTGGGTTAAATGATCGTGAACCTGATGGCATCTTTAACGCTGTATTGCCCCACATACGCCTACCCCTGCATTTGCAATTTTTTTTCTCCAACTAATATGTTTCAATTTTGTTGGAAAGCCAACGCTTCTGATAAGTAATGGCGACAACGAACTATAGAAACTTACTATGGCGTTCAGCAACAGCTGCGACGCTTCCTCGGCATACCCTATAATTGAAGCGAGAAATTGTGGGCTGTCGGTTCGTCCTTCTGTTCGACTATATGAACTTCAAGATCTTTTCAACCATAACAGCTAGAAGAAGCAAACTTGGCAAGAGGTCTTGTCTGATTCGTAGGCTTGTCAAGCTTTTGTTAAACCACATATGTATCTACCTATATTATTTTATATGACTCCCATAACGCTGCCAAAATTGCTAGAAGAGAACAATTTGATATTTAATTATTTGTGTTATTTAATTAATTAATGCAATTCTTCTGCTGCTACTATCAGAATTTTATTGGCTTCCCAATAAAACTTAAAAGCCATTACTGAACAAATTTTAAAGATAGAATGGATTTTTAAAAGTATATAACTTTCTAGGAATTACGGAACGTTTCAAAGACAAACAGAATTGAATTAAATCTTAAGCATACGTGATATAGAAAAGCTTTATTTACTATATATATGCTATATATTTTTGTATTTAACAAAAAAATAAACCTTAGCAATAGCTGAAAAATATTTTAATCGGACATTGTGAGATCACGACCAGTCTGTCCAGATATTTATTATTAAACAAATCTTTAAGTTTCTGCCTTGCTGAAGATTTCTGTGCCATAGAATAGAGCATAGAACTATCTGACTAGATCATATCTTATAGATATATATATATATATAAATTAAAAATGCAAGCCTAAATTGTTGGCCTGATACTTGTAGTCTGTAGCAGAGCTTTCAAGTTTATTTTTATTTGTTAGTTTCGTTTTTCAATGATAATTTTGTTAATTTCAAATTACTTAATTCGAGAGCTGTGGTTGTTTAAGGGACCGGTTGGTTGTAGGGTATACAAGCGGCGACTCTAGCCTTTGTAATACTTTTTATTAATAAAAATTGATGCTGATTGCGCGGCCATTTGTGCGGCTGCCGAATGCGTCAGCTAGTCTGCAACAGCAGACGCCAAATTAGTGCGCATTTGAGATTCATTGCGTTCGTAACGCTAGACTGTGATACGAAATGTGAAGCGCCCATTCACTGCCGCGACATGCAAGTGATAAAAAATAGCTGCGAACGCCGCTGGTCCAATCCGTTGCCGCACATGCGCCTCGGCGGCGAAATCCAAGTGAGTGAGATACATACGAGTGTGTGCATGCCTAATAGTGTCGCTAGCTGGTAACCCATATTTGTCGAGCGGCAGCGACTTCGCCTACCATGGCCATGGAGTGGAAGCACCAGTCGGGGGACATGCCAAGTGTTGGCATTTCATGCTGTAATGCAGCCACGCACGTTGCACCGATTAAATAATTTCATGTATTGCCAATGCTGCATGGTGGCTACTGACCCCGGCGACTGGAACCGCAAAGCTAATGCTGATGATGGCAGTCGTTCCGTCTGTCGGCCAAACAGCATCACGCGCATTCAAGTAATTGCCATAATTGTCAATTGGTTTGGCTTAGAATTTGCGCCAGGAATTGTTTTGGCTCGCCACACACTCCTATTGAGTAACATACAGACGATCGCGATTGTTGCACGAAGCACAGTTAGATAACAGCACTTAGAATGGCAATAGAGCTGTTCCTACTGCCACTAATGTGTGTTACTGGGAGCAAACATAATGTGCATTTAATACATTTTAATGCCATCAATCAACCGGTTTCAACAGCTGGCCATCAGATTTGTGTCGCCTTCTTTCCTAAGCACCAGACCCGCAAATAGATTTGTGGGGAGAATGCCATTCAAAGCCTTCGAATTTCGACTTTCCTGCACGCTAGATTCTAACTGTGCGAAATCAGAGTGTGATGAATGTACTAAACATAGTTAAGCTCCTATGTCTGCTAGTATGTAGTACAAGTAGATCGGCATAATTACATGTCAACTTAGCTACGCGGATATTGCTAAGCTTATTTGGGTTTAGATTTGATTACATTGGCTGAATCGCCTTACTCTTAGCTCGTACAAAGTATACATTTATTTCGACAGGAAAAGTACACAATAACTCGAGAATGTCTTTAAATTTGTATATACTTGTACGTAATTACTTATAATGAAATATAATTATACTTGATAAGATCGAGAACGCCACCCATATATGCTTTTATCTGTCAATTTCTTATATCCACAATATTTATATACAACAAAAAAATTATGAGGACGGTTTAATTTTATTCAAAAGATCCGTTTATCATTTAAGATATTGCACTTTCTTAGCTAATACTAGCCTAGGCTATTAGCCTATGTGTATGCTTTTCATTTCCAGTGTTATTATTTTGATGCTGAAACTATTTAAGTTATAACCAATTTGAAGTATTTAAGCTAAAATGGAACGCCCTTAAAAAACACAAGAAAGATTTTAAAAATGTTAATCATATCTCCACTACTACTAAACGTCCATTATATACTAAGCATTTCCACATTCGATAACTATTTCTTATGTCGTTATACTGAGCCTAAATGGCAAAAGTTAGTCAAAGGTCCGAACTCCAGAAGTATAGTAGCACTAGCGAAGATACCCTTCGGCTATGTCTTCAACATTATATTGTTGTTTTATACAGATTTTTTGATAAACCTCGTGAATAAATTGCAGAACTTATATGCTGGAAAGCAACAGAGCTAAATAAGTAATGTGGTGAATAGGCATCTTCATATATGCTGAACAGTGCATTAGCGCCATCTAACGTATTTGTAAGGAAATCAATTTCAGTTCGAACCACTACGAACATTTTTGTAGTTCGCTTCTTCATACTCATACCAAGCGGCCGAACTTGTTCGAAGTGGGCATCAAACCAGGCGTGTGTTATCGGAAGATATCTTCACGTACTCGTTCTTGGCTTCGCTGCATTGGCAATATCAATTTCAGATTTTGCCCGGTAACCGAACAGAAGGCCTGCAACTGACGATTACACAATTCTCAGTTATGTGAGATTGCGAAACGTACAGAACATCAAAGAGGCCTGATTTTATAAAACCAGTTCCGCTGAATGACGACACGCAGTCGCAATGATAAAAGCGATTCCTGTAGAGAATTTAAAATTGTGCAAGAAAATTGCATTCGCAGATACAGTTTAGCTTTCTTAACTGCTTTTGCGAGTTTTTATTTACGGCCGGGGCAGACCCAGTCATATTCAAGAATAAATGTTATGTGTAGGAGCATTTTACAAATTTGGGGCTTAACGATAGCCATCGCCATTGTACTCTGCGGGCTAGCTGTGAGAAAAGACAATCGATGTTTGCCTGTTGCTTGCTTGACCCATTTCCACTATCCAAAACTGCATCCATCCAGCATTCAAGTTCTGTTTCGGCTCACCATTTATGTATTCAATTTACCCAATGACCAAGACGTGGGCCTGTTCCAAATGGGTCACAGCCAGACTCGTTTGACTGCAGGAATATTCTTTCAATGTATTGCACATCTGTTGCATCTTTTACGATCGTATGTATTGACATAATTTTGTCTTGTGCTGTATACCGCTTTCATTCCACTTCCAGCCCGTTTAGCCACTTCTCCAACTGGATATCCTTGCAATAGCCAACTTCTGCATGCGGCTTAGATTGCAAAGAGCGCTGACATACTTGGCGACTACTTGATTAATTGCCACTGCCACAGAGTCGCGCTGCCAGTTGCATCACTCGGCGCGGCCAGAAAAAGAATGTCGCTTAGTCTTTTAGCCATTTTTCAGTTGGTTTCGATACGTTGTTATGTCATGGCATTAATTGCTAGCACAGTTCGTTGCTTCATGGCCACAATAAGCTGCTCTTTGATTCGCCACCCCGTAGCGACCATAAGTAGAGTTCAAACGCCTCTCAGGCGCCAGCGATTAAATGAAATGTCAACAATAACAATCCACACACGCACATACACACACTATAGTCGTATTTAATGCTTAGCCGTGCCGATGGTTGCAATAAAATGATTTTTAATTGCTGAACATCTTCGCAGCTTCGTACCTTTCCACTTTTCCCAACACAGCCAGCTAGTAGTTGCATCTTCATCTCTGAGCGCATACCCAGGTGTTGACAAAACTGTCCAGCTTGTCGGCTGCCGAAATCTTAAAAAAAAAAGAGAAGGGGCTTCTTTTAACTAAAAACTTAAAATCAAACGTCATTCACGCTTCATAAGCGACTGAAAATGAAAATGTACATGCCTTGCGGTTAATGTATTCATCTTAAAAAAAATTTAATAAAATAAAATATGCGCGTTGTTCAACCAAATTTCATCGGCCCAGATCCTAGTTAATAACCGGAAGGTAACATCATTATTGTCTATAGAGATTCTCACCGCTTTAGACCTACAAGTATAACCTCCAAGTTAAGATGCGTTAATAGTCAACCTATAAATTAAAAGAAATTTAAAAAAAAAATAGTCTTTTCATATGAAAATTCTTCTTATGCTCGACAAGTCTGTAAAATCGAAATATGTAATCAATAACCTATATATGTAGGCCTGATGCGACCTTATTCGATTATTAGTCTGTCTGTATTAAAGGAATACTCTCAATACACAAAAGAAGTTCATGTTTTTTATGGTGGTTTTTCTTCCTTCCGTAATGCTTGGAATTATTTGTTCAAAACTGTATAAATTAACTCGAACCGCAATGATAGATAACTAGGAAGTTTCTCCTCCATTATTGCTCATTTCCAAAATCGACGACAGCCGTCGATTGAGCACTCACTGCTTTCAATGCCAACAGAAGCGAACTCACATTTTGAATATCGGACAACTTTGATTGGATTCGTATATTTGTTCAGC